TGATTCTGAGGTTAGGGGGCAAATTGCTGTCCTGACCACCCTTGGTCAGAATTCTTCAATGACTTGCCAGGTTTTGAATCAATTTTATTGTTTGATGAATGTCTTGGATCATGGTAAAAAATTAGCACTAAAATGGATTTCATATACATGAGATTTCTTTAAAAAAAATCAAGTTCGATGTTTAGATGGTTTCGGAATGGCCTGTCCTAACCCATGGTAGTCAATTTTTCACTAATAATTTGAAGCTTTTGTCGTCATTCAGGGATGGGAAATCTAGTTTGGGTGGGTGCATATGTTTCAACTGTAATTCAGCAAAGTTTCATGCGCCTGTGACCATAAGTGTAAGAGGGGTGAACCTCAGACCTATTTAGGTCAAACATGACAAAATTATCAACTCCGTTACAAAATTGTAACGGAGTTGATGTATATAAAGGCCCTTATAAAGGTATACAAAAAAGTAAAAAAGTGTAATAATCTTTGTAGTTTCAGGGCCACGGTGTTACAAATATTGGAAATATTCCATAAATATGCCAAAAGGGATGATAAAAAAAATTCTGTTATTTAAAACTGCAATTTACCCCTTAACCTCAGAATCACCCGTTCTGCGGATAAAATGATAAGCATCACATGTGTAATTTTGTACGAACTATATCCTTAAGATTTGCATATATTAATTAGCATTATACTTAATTTGTTTCCGGTACAAGTTCTGATAGGTCCGCTCATAGATATATACAACACATTGCTACCTATATATCTATGCGTCGCCTCCACCAGACTTTCATTCCATATTATAGCGCAGTGAACCACTCCGGCATATTATATTTCTATTGCCACTCCGATGGTTGACTCAAAATTGTCATATTCCTCTGGTTGGTGGTCTTTCTGTCACCTGTGACATCTTTCCATATGGCACCTTATGAAATAGCTTGAGCATCTCTGTCATAACTTATCTAATGTCCGTATTATAATTTTCACGTCTCTATCATATGTATTCCCTGTGTTTTCGTATGCAAGTAGGTAACTCAGTTTTCTAATCGTTCTGTGGTATGCTAAGAGTTTAATGCCTATGAATTTACTTTGGTTGTTCTACGGATTGCTACATCCTTAATTCAATCATTGTCTCAACATATTTACTAGCAGTCGTTCATTCCATTTCTGCCATTATATAGGCCCATTATTATGCCGCGATTACGTCTTGATTGCTTGTATCTCCTCGTCAATGCTTTATCAATAATAATTTCAAAGATTTTAGTATCTATCTGCAAATAACTAAATTTCTGAATTCACAAAGTTTTGTAGCATCATTTATAAATATAACGAAAAGTAACGCATATTAAATTATTTATTTTAAATAAATAATAGCGCATGGCGTGAAGTAGTTATAGTAGTAGCATTTAACAGGCTTAGGGCGATCTCCTAATTATAAACACAGGTCTACTTGAATAAATTCTTATTAAGGAAATCTATGCTAGAATACCCCCTAACATTTTAAATGCCCATTATTCATCTTAAAAATATTAATCCTCTGGTAAGATATGAGCATTCCATTAACACACTATCTTTTTACCCAGAGTTATTGCAATGGGCATTTCATCACACAACTCCTACTCAAGGGGTAGCCAGCTCCAATTTAAATTCATTTGGAAATCGAAATCTGCAATCATTCATTCAGGCTACTTGCTGCATGCACAAACCCGGATTTTAGCCTATATCAGCCATAGCATACATTTCTAAAATATTTTGCCAATGTAGTAGGGAGTCATATCGCTGGGTCACATAATGCCCAGTACCTGTTGTAAAAGGACGCAGTATTTCGACGAATATATACACTGTACATTATCTGGGAGGACTGCAAGCCGAAACGCTCGGTCTGGCTACCCTTGCAAGCTATGGGCGTCGTGCCATCTTTTACTAGAGCCATGCGATGGAGATTTATCACAGAAATCTACTCAAGGTAGCCATTCTCCATTCTTAAATTTCATTTTGGTATCAAATATTGAATCAAGTCAGTCAGCTACTGCGCATGCGCGAACCGGATTACTTGAGCCTATAATTCTTGCATAAGATATAAATTTCTTAAAATATTTTCCAATGGTTAGTAGGGAGCTCATACTCCTGCGGTCAACATATTATGCCAGAACCTTTTAAATGACGAGTTATTTCGGACTGATAATACACGTACGCATGTATCTGGCGAGACTGGAAGCCAGAAACGCCTCTGTCCGTGGTTACCCTGCAGCTTAGGGCGTCGTCACCATTCTCTCTTTCTCTCACTGTCTCGCGCTCTCTCTCTCTCTCTCTCTCTCTCTCTCTCTCTTCTCTCTCTTGTTTCTCTCTCTCTCTCTTTCTCTCGCTCTCTCTTTCTGTCTCTTTCCCCTCTCTCTCTCTCTCTCTCTATCTTCCTTTCTCTCTCTTTCCCTCTCTCTCTCTCGCTCTCTCTCTCTCTCTCTCGTGCAGTGCCGTCTGAGGCAAACTTCATAATATATGCTGCTGAGGGAGAGAGGGGATGGGAGACTGAGGAAATCCGGCAGAGAAGATAGCTGGGGGCGGTAGAAGAAGAAGGAGGCTGAGCGATGGACATGGGAGGCATGGGGATGACGCGAGGGCATAAATTAGGTGTTTTGTAACCTACATGCTAGGGCGCTCTCATAATTTTAAACACAGGTCTACTGATAAATGTTTATTAAGGAAATCTATGCTGAGATACCCCCTAACCATTTTAAATGCATATTCATCTAAAAATATAACTCCTCTGGTAAGATATTGAGCATCCATTAACACACTATCTTTTACCAGAGTTATTGCATTGGGCATTTATCACACAAATCTACTCAAGGGTAGCCCAGCTCCAATTTAAATTCATTTTTGAATCGAAATCTGAATCATTCAGTCAGCTACTGCGCATGCACAAACCCGGATTTTAGCCTATTCAACATAGATACATTTCTAAAATATTTGCCAATGTAGTAGGGAGTCATATCCTGGGTCACATATGCCCAGTACCTGTTAAAATGACGAGTATTTCGACGAATATATACACGTACATGTATCTGGGAGACTGAAGCCGGAAA